AAACAATACAACGAAAAACCGACCAATGTAGAAATCAAACCACAATTGAGCTTAAGATACATTAAAGAAGTAATATATTTATATATAGCTCTCAACTTAAGCTAAGATTTCCCACATCACATGTATATGTTTTTCCAGATAATATTGCTTAACAGATAATCCGATTGAAATTATCTTAATATTATCAAAATAACTAAAAGTGGCAGCAAAATTGTTATACAAACTACGAAAATAAATTAATTAATTAAGGATATTTTAAAAAGATTTTATTAACGAATAAAAGGGAATTAGTTACCTAGAATGAATGAGAGACCTTATAGCGAAAAAGTTACTTCGCATATATTATATATGATATGATTTTAAATGTTTTTTTTATTAAATTCCAATTTTTAAATTTTCGTTATTTTCTATTTTAAATATTTTTTGATTAAATTTCGATTTTTAATATTTTTATTAAATTTAAATGTTTTTTGATTAAATTTACGATTTTTAATATTTTATTTAATTTACGATTTTTAATAATTTTTTATTAATTTACGATTTTTAATAATTTTTTATTAAATTTAATTTTAAAAAATATATGAAGGGATAAAAGGTAATTAGCCACCCTAAGAATGAATGAGAGAGCTTTAACTCAAAATTTTACTTTGCTTATAATATATATGATTTTTAATAATTTTTTATTAATTTACGATTTTTAATAATTTTTTGTTAAATTTAATTTAAAAAAATATAAGGAGGGGTAAAAGGTAATTAGCCACCCTAAAAATGAATGAGAGAGCTTTAATTCAAAATTTTACTTTACTTATAATATATATGATATATAGATTCTTCATGATCGCCAACATCTCCAATCAGATCTCCAATCCAATTTTGGTGAAAGGATTGGATATAAAATCCAAAAAAAAACAAAATTTGAAAACTTTTATACTTGTTAGATTAGCTCCTTTTGCTTGACATGTTCCAAGATAAATTATCAATCATCTCTAATAAGTAATAACTCATTCTGCCTAAATTGTTATGTTTTTGTTGACATTTGTTTATTCTTTTCAGTTTTTTTTTAATATCAAAAAATTAAAAGAAATTAAACGATGTTGTTAATGTATACCGGATTGGTTCAATTGTAATTAAAATTGGTTTAGTTTGGTATAACAGAATCTCATACTATATAAAAAAAAACTTTGTATCATTTCACAATTAACTAGATTTTGCGTCCACGCTACGCGTAAGTATTTTGTTAATAAAAATTATATGCAATCAATTATATTTATTAAAATAGAAATTTTATATATTAGTGATTTAATAATATTAAAAATATTATGATGTTAATATAATAATTTTTATGTAAATTTTAAGGTTTTAACGGTTTTGTTTTAAATCTATATACAGTATGTTATATTTCAAAAACATATTATTTGGTCAAACACTTATAAGTTAATATACTCAAATCAACTAAGTTTTTTTATAAATTAATCAAATAGTACTTATTAAACATAATATTGACATAATGATAAAATATTATACATTCACTTCTTTAAATCATGAAAATAATTTTTTTCATCATTTTCACTTTTTTCCAATTATATATGTATTTTTTTTAAATAATAAAATTTAAAATTTAATCTTTTTTCTTCTTTTGTTTAACCGATACAAATTTTATTTTGTTATATTAATTTAAAAAACAAACTAATAAATAAAATATTTTCTTTGAGATTAATAACAGCTTTAAATTTGAAACCAAAATAATAGTTGAATATAAAATGAAACAAATCACAAAAAAATTGTGAATTAAATATTTTTTTGTCTATTGGTTGTGTAAACGTTTAAATAATTTTCAATGATTATACGTCATCTATTCTAATATAGCTTTAACTGTTATTCATAATAGAATAATTTTAATTACTAATTTTTTCTATATTATTTTGTATTAACAATGTAATTTTATAATTTAGAATTTTTTTTTAATTTTAGTTATTGATGTACACTAATAAAATTGACTTTTTAAATCTTATGTGTATGTCTTTAGAGGCATATAACTTTTATTTTTATTTTTCTATAAATATATTTTTTTGTTAACCATATAATTTTAAATTTGAAATTTTTTCTAATTTTAAATATTAATGTGGACCAATAAAATTGAATTTTTATATATATATGTGGACATTTTTAGAGGCATATAGCTTTTATTTTTTTTTAATAATAGATTTAGAAATAAAAACTGGAAGATTTCATACGAGGCAAGTGATTATGGTCTCTCCTTGTTTTGAGGTTTACCGAATGTATTCGCATGCTGCTTGGTCAGCTAATTGTTACCTTTTTGGTTAACGTTAGGTTGTTAAAACCCTATCAGATGCCATGTTATTTCAAAAATCTTCCTCGGAGATCTCAATCTTCGGCTTAATGACAGAACTTCTTTCTCTATTTTCAGTGCTTCGTTTTTCAAAAGTGTCATGATTTTGCTCTCGCCTCTTTGTTTTGAGGCTTACCGAATGTATTTGGATGCTGCTTGGTACTAATTTTTACCTTTGTGTTTAATGTTAGGTTGTTAAAACCGTATCAGATGCCATATTATTTCAAAAATCTTCCTCAAATACCTCAATCTCTTTCGTCTTAAAGAACCTCTTTCTCTATTTTCAGTGCTTTGTTTTTTAAAAGTGTCGAGTATCAATCACTTGACATGTTTCTCGGATTGCTTGAAATTTATCATTCTTCTCAAATTCGGTGGCCAAGCTTTGGAGATTTTTCGGTCTCTTTTTCGGTATTAAAGTATCTCGTTTCATTATATTCTTTGTAATTTAGCTAATAGTTAAACTTATAGTTTAGCCAAATTGGTTCTTTTACGTTGTAATGACTCATTTTTTGTGAAACCTAACTCTATAATATTTTGTTTTTTTTTTGAAATGGTTGCACACACAGAAAAAAAAAATTTATTATAGTTATGTGACAAAAATTTGGATACTAATGTAAGAGTCTCTAAATATGTGTGTATACATCTAATTTAAATTTAAAATTTTCTATTTTAATATTATTTATTTTAGTTTTTTATTATTAACAAAAAATTATATATAATTTCTTTATCTTTAATAATTTTTTAAAATAATAATGGAATTTGAAAAAAAATATTTAATTTACAATGTTGAGGTGGACCAATAAAAAATTTAAATAGAATTTTTTTATTCAGCAATAATTAGAATTTGTAAATTTTTTAATTTCCTTATTCAGCAATAATATTATAATTTGTAAAGTTTCCTGATTTTAAATATAGGGTTTTTGCTAAAAATAACCTAAAAATTGATTTTGAATACAAAAG